GTGTCACCAAATGTGTATGTCTGACTGTTAGGTTGGGTTTGTTGCATTTCCTTTTAAAACATGAGAGTCAGTCTAAAAAATGTAGAGTGAACAAAAGTGCATTGCTCCTGATGAGCAGAGTTAAGGAATGAGGAGGTGTAAGATGCGTCAGCTTTTTTGTTATGATGTGCTCTAAGTTCAGTTGAGAAGTAGCAGAAATATGATTAAAAACCAAAATAGGAACACATGAAAACTTTCCCAGCCTGAGCAAAACTGGTTTTGGAGAGTGCTTGCTACAGAATGGCCAAGTTTATGGCCAAAATTTGTTTTCTGTTGTTTTGATTCTAACTGTCCACTCTGTGAAGAAATAGTGCATCAAAGAAATGGCTGAATTCAGCAGTCACTGCTCCTAATATAAACGAACAACCCACAAGGCTTTAAATATTGATTTACTACTTAGATTAGAAGTGTTGAGATTATGCAATCCCTTTGCTGATACCAGGAATGAGGTGAGAAGCTGTTGACTGTTTCCAAGCTTGCCCTGAATCGTGGGTGAGAACCGGAGACCTTCCAGCTTGGCTTTAATCTCTCCCCAACATACCCTTCTCTTCCTTCTCTTTGACCTCTGGCATAAGGATGAAAATCAGCATCAGTACCAAACAGTTGCACTGCCTGGGGAGTTCTTTACACAGGTCACATTCCATAAGAGATTATTGCTGAGTTCTTCTTACTGGAAAGATACAAAGCAGTTGCAACATGAATCCTTTTAGCCAGCCGTGGTTTTAAAGCCTGTGTGACACACTGTGATATAAAGGCAGTGTGAATTTCTGTTTGTGAACTCCTAAAATGTTTGCAAAGATGTTTCAGACATCTTGCAGCGAATGTAAGCTTCCTGACAGCAGGCGTGCTTTTCTTAGCTACCTGTTTTGAAGCCCTTGAAGTATTCCACTTCCCCTCAGGGTATTGCTAGTTGACCATGGTTCTGTTTACAGAGACCAAGTAAATCTGTTTCTGCTTTGTTTTCAAAAAAGAATGCTTGAAAGCAGTCAAAGAGCAAGTTTAAATGCAGCTATGACAAGTAAAAACTGCTGCACCAGTTGTCCTGAGTAACTCAGTTAGGCATTAGCATACCTGTGGCTATAGGAAAGGTTTCCCATGGAGCTGTGTCTAAAACCTCCACAGAACAAGGTAGATTTGACTCTTCTCTTGGATATCCTGTCTGACAGGAGTTTAATTTTAGTACCCATTATTCTAACTATAACCCAACAGATTCTGTTTTTCCTTAGATTGCAAATAACCAATATTTGTCTCCAGCTTTGCTAAAATCATTAATCTGATTTAGATGTTCACCCTTCTGAAACAAAGCAAGCATTTTGTGGAGTACTTCTGACAATGCCTCTGAACCTGGGTGTCATTCAGCGGTGCTCAGCTTGGGGACAGGAGCGGATGAACCCTGCAGGCACCGGGATTCCCCAGTGAGCTCTTGCCATGGCACACCAAGCCACAAGAGGCTGATGAGGACATCCCATGGCTGGTGAGGTCTACAGTAAGGAGGACATGAAGGAGGAGGTGAGGGAAGAGTTGCACTCGGCAGGAGGGCAGAACCTGGAGCACCTGAAATCCATGTGGGAGCAAGAATGTATAGTCTGAGGTACAGAGATGGAAGCTCCAACTTAAATTTGTTGGAGCTGCTCTGAAACTGCACCTGGAAAACATTAGACTTGCCAGCCTGGAAGAGAGATGAATGAGGTAGTACTGCAAGGAATCTGATAGCAATCTATAAACCAGGGAGTGGTGTGGAGACAGCTAGGAGAAAATGGTCTAATTCATGGTTAATTAACACAAAAGTGAAGGGACATCAAATCAGACAGGAGGCTCAGAACACACAGAAGGGATTTTCACATGGCATAATGTTAAACCAGGGAACTACATCAAGCTGCAGATGGCAGAAGTTTTATGGGTTAAGAAAGCAGTTGGGTTTGTCTTCTGTTAATTTCCCTGTGAAGAGCAGAAATAGGCTGCTCCTAGCCAAGAGTCTCTGAGCAGCCCAAGTCGTTACCTTCCCAGGAACTGACCAGCCACCGCTGGCAACAGCACACTGTGGGAACTTGGTCCTGTTCCTTGTCGACTGTGGCCATTCCAGCACCTCAGTGACCAAGCCAGGATACAGCATGGTGGAGCCAAACTCAGCTAACTCAAAATTTAAGATTATAGGAGGTACAAAAGAGGTGGAACAAACTACAAATCTATTCTCTCACCTGTTTACTGTTTAAGATGAAAACAGACAGAAAGGGCTCATGTGTCTGTTTTAGTAGGGAAAAAATGTGTACCATTGGTTTACCTAAATACAGGGAGGTTAAATCAAAAGAATAGTTAATCTGCATAACCCAGACGTGCCTTTAGGCATCTTGCACAATCCAGGCCCTCTCATTAGCGCTGATTGATGCTGAGCGAAACAACAGGGTTTGAAACAAATTAGAACAAAGAGAAAGTAATAACGGAGCACCCTAAAATTCATATAGCCCAAACCAGGCAGTGATCCCATACGGGCTCCATTCGAGGAAGCGATGCACCTTGTGGTTCTCTGTGAAAGGGAGCAATTACATACAGCATCCCCATTGCTTCTGCAGTTGTTGCCAGACTATTGTAGCCTCCTGCAAGGTGTTGTCTTTCACCGGAGCAAACTCCTGTTACCAAATATAGCTGTGGCTTGTTTTGTAATGTTGTTGTTTTCACGCTCTGTCCCACTCCATATGGTGAGGGGGAGGATTGTGCTGGACTTGTGTGCGGCAGAGATGGAGCAGGAAATGTTTCCTCTGCCTTTACATGGCGTTGGGACCCCGTGTCTTGTCAAAAGCTGGTTATTTTGTGCTAATTCTCTTCCGAAGAAGCCTGAACGCCTAAACATGTAAAACCATGTGGCAAACTCCTGCATGAATCACAGGGATATTTGTGGCCTCTGGCTTTCTGAACTGCACTGTGAGTAATCCCGGTTGCTCTTGTCAGTGCTCCTGATGAAACCCATTGCATATGCTCTGAGTAAAGGCCGTCGGAGCCTCCAGCTCGCCTCGGTGTCCCAAAGGAGGCAAAGCCGGGTGTGAAACCTGCCCAAGAGACCTGAGCCCTTGTGAGCTGTGGGCAGGAGCAGGGAGGATGGAGCTGGTGCTCACTGGGACCCACAGCTCAGGAGAGGCCAATGGGGCCCTGGGGCAGAGCCTGGCCATTCCCCAGTCACACACAGACACACAGATAGATAGATACATACATACATATACATATACATACATACATACATACATACATACATACATACATATACACACACACACACACACACACACACACACACACACACACACACACACTCTGCCAGCCCGCCCCCTCCCCATGCCCGTCAGAGGGGCGGCGGCGAGGATTGGCCGGTGGCGGGCGCTGGCCCCGCCCCGCTCCCCCCGCGCCTCAGCCATTTTAGCAGCCGGGGCCGCCGCGGGCTGCGTTCTCCGCCGGCAGCGCCGGGACGTGCGGCCGAGCCGGGCCGGGCTGGGTGAGCGCGGTAACGGCCGGGGAGGGCGGCCAGGGGCGGGGCCCTCCGTTCGAGGGCGGGACGGAGCGAGGCAGGTCCCGGCGTTGCCCCTGGGCAGCACCTGAGGGGAGCGGGGCGCGGGGCTAGCGTTCCCCTCCGGGCCATCCTCCGCCCCCGCCGGGGGTGGGACGCGGCCGCAGCCCGCCCGGGCGGAGGCGGCCGGGTCAGCTGAGGGGAGCCGCGGGAGGTTACGTGGGGTCAGGGCTCTCCCAGGCTCCCTCAGCCGTGGGCTGCAGACGCGCCCGGGCCCGGCACTGGTCTGGGGAGCGGAGCTGGCCCTGGCCGTGGCTGTGGGCGGGGGCTGGCACCGGCGGTTGCCCGGGAGCAGGTGCTGGGAACGCGGGGCGCCTCCGGCCGCGGCCCTCGCGGTGCTCCCCGCGCGGCCCCCCGGAGCTGCCTCCGGTTGCTGCTCCCCGCCTGTGCTGGGGCCCGCCCGCTGCTTCCCGGGAGCCCGGCGCCCCGGCAGCGCCATCGCCTGCCCAGAGCCCCCCCGAGGTGCGGCGGAGGGGGCCGGGCTCGGGTATGGGCTGATGCTGATGTAGCGCAATGTGATTCACCGCTCGGCGCGGCGCACGGGGCACGGCTTGCCGCTTCGCATCATGAGCGCACCTGGTGAAGGAAAGCGAGGGCACTGGTTGATGTTCTGTGCTGTGCCCCTCAGGAAAGCCTCGCCTTGCGGTGCTCTCAAATGCCTTTGAACAGTAGGGCTTTTTTGAGATTTGTCTGAAAAGCGGGTGTATGTGCCCCGTTTTTTCCTGACATAATTGTGTCATATCCGACATTCTTTCCAATGAGGACACTCAATAAATAGAGTTTACATAGTATTTCGGTGTAAATTTAGGGTTGTTGCCTATAAGGTGAATGGGCAGCTGTAGTCCCCGGTGGTTGTAAAAGATTGTCAGGTTAAAGATAACATCTGACCTTCCCTGCTTCCCGTTTCATCTTGGACTGCTGTAGCATACAAATGTGAATACAATACAACATGCTTTGTCATTTACTGCTATATACAAACTTGCATTTATAGCCTTGCACATCTGAAGTGCAAAAACTAGCAAATAAAGCTACAAATAGGCATTAGAATCATCTGATCTTTTTATCTCTTGAATTCTACCTTTTGAATGTGAGATCTGTCACCTCAGACCAACTGCAGTGATTAAAGACATGGCTTTGTTTTGTTTTTGTAAGACATAAGCGTCTTATATTTTAAACAGATAAATCCCAAACCCCGTCTTTGCTCCCAAACAAGAGGCAGAATTAGCAGCGTTCCAGTTACAGAAAGGTTGTTTGGTTTACCTCTGGTTTTCTTTTGCTCTTCACTGGTGGATACCAAGTTTGTGTTTTTAATACAGTTCTACAGAAGCTTAAAATATGTCCCCACAGAAGTTATTTTTAGGAGATACGTGTTTTCACTCACCTCTCATTTCTTTGTATTTGCCAGTTCCCTGTTGTCATAAACTACAGAAGTGCGTTAACTTGCAACAGGCAAGACAGCCGCCACCCCCCGAGAGCCCCGCTCTGGTAAGGTGTTCATGATGTGTTATTGTTTGGGGACTTGCATCTCATGCAGACTTTACTGATGCGTTACCTGAATGCTGTCTGTACCATACCCTGTGTTACCCATCGCCTGCTCATTGAATAATCTGACCTTTACCAGCAGCTATAGAATTTCAGCAGAATAAATTACTGGTGTTCAGCAGGTGACACTGCCTCACACGAGGACTCTGCTTCAGCTCCTTTACAAGACTAGAGAAACCATTCTTGAACAGGCCACTGAGGCAAGGCCTTGGATACAAATACATCCTGAGTGGTGTTAAGATACATATCCAGTAAAACAGATGCAGCCTACTACATTGAGTAAATGAAGGTAATACCCAAATGAAATAGTAAACAGTAGCCTGAGCCAAGTAAACATGCAAAATCTATTGAAGTTAATGATTAATAAATAGAATTGGGTAGCTAACGTGACAAACGAGTGCTTGTTTATAAGTAAGCTGTTCTGAATAAGGAACTGCTTAAGCTAAAAGGAGTTGATTATTAAGGGAAATCCTCATTGTACATGCAAACAAGCGTGTGGTCACTGTGCTTCAGGACATCTATTCTCAGGAGAGAGGGAAGTTTCATCGAAAGAGGGAAGCAATTTCCTGAGAAAATGTAGTTGTGTTCCATTTGTTCCTGGGTGGGGGGGGGTGGTGTTATTTAGATGGTGCAATGTCTTCACACTTGTGGAAGGCACATCTCAAAAGCTGGCTGATTAATTCTCCTGCAGTTCTACAGCACCTAAAGAGTGATTGCCTTGATGTTCGTCATCATTTCACAGTTAGCTTCTCTTCTCCCTGTAACTGGGATTGCTTTCTGTCAGTTACCAGTTGGAAGGTGCTGAGTGGAACAGAATACCTGTACAGAAGGGAAAGCTTAAGAAAGTATTTCTCTTCTGGAATTATTAATACTTTGCTATTGCTTTTTGTCTCCTTGGCTATTTTGGCTGAGGGTGGGTGAGGGAAATCAGGATTGCCCATCATCTTCTGCTGTGTGTTTGTGTGTAACTGTATGTTTGCTCCAAATCTAGAACTCTGTAGATGGGCAGGTAAAAACGAAAGCTGAACACAGCACTAGTTATTTCTTCTGTGGCTGCTTGCTTGCAGAATAATTGCACTGAAAGTAAAGCGCACACTGGAAGTGGTGTAGCAGGTTCCTGTAATGATCTGTGGTGGACACAAAGCCTGTCAGCACCAAGGCCCTTATCACAGATGGGTGTTTGTGGTCTGGGTGGTGGATGCGGAGAACCTTGCCTCAATCCTGGACATGCTGGATCTGTGAGAGCTTTCACTTGCTTTATATGGATGTGAACTAAAACTCAGCGTGTGGAGTAAGGCTTGTGCTTGCAAAGAGGAAGAGCTCTGGCCAGCTGCCAGAGCTGCCTGGGAGATTCAGTGGTTTCAGTTTTGGTTTTGCAGTAGGTACCTGGTGTGATTCACATCGAGCCACTTGGCCAAGAGCAGCAGAAGTAACTGGACATAACTTAAGCGACAGCAAGTCTGCTTTCCTTGCCCCACTTCTTACAGCTATCAGTTCTTGCCTAATATGCATATAAAGTGTACTTGTAATCAAGGTATTGCTTTAATCTTGTGCCAAATGTGCACAGCATTATTTACCCAACAGTGTGTGAGACACAGGTTAGGAATGAGTTGTGGGGGTGGCAAATCCTTACCCTGTTGTTGTTGCCCTGCATAGAAAGCCTTTCTACTATTTGGGCTACCATGCTACTTCAGAGCTGTGCTGCCATAGCTCATAGTAGCTCTGGAGTCAGGACTAAACTTGGCGCTGGCTTGAACTTGATCTTCTGCAGAGGTTAGATACAAGGAGTGTGTGAGTGAGGCGTGGTGGTACAAGTGGCTGCGGAGTTATTTTGCATTTTAAGATGATCCCAAATATAGTAGAAAACTCAGAGGGCACATTGAACCATTTTTCAGCAAGGAAATAAATAGCACAGGCTGCCTTGGGAAATGGAGGAGCAGAACAAGTAAGAAAAGGTGACTGTGGGCTTGGGGCTGGGAGGGATGGGAAGTGTTTGCCTTCAGCCAGCATCGTGCCAGGATGTCAGTTTGTGTCGTGGGAGATTTGGTGTTTTAAAGTTTGTGAGTTGCTGTTGATGGAAGCAAAGTTGGAGCTAATGCCACTGCATCTAAGAGTCAGATATTTGCTTTGCTTTTGGGTTAATAGCTGTGCAGTGTGGAGGACGTGAGGAATTGCTTCCTTCTCTGCTTTAGATATTGCTAAACACTTGGAGTTAGCACTGAAATCAGAGAGTACTTTTCACCTCAGTAAAGTGGTTTGTAAGGAATCTTAGATACTGAGAAAATACCTTTATTCCCCACCTCCTGTATTTAAACTTTGTGTGTTTTTCATAGTAGAGTTAATGCCAAATCAGTGGATATTGTGCAGCTGAGAGCTCACTGGGCTTCAACGTGAGGTATCTTTATCTCCAAGGCAGAGATAAAGTGATCCACCAATTATAAGATTTAAGAGTCTTGGATTTACAGTGATCCAAGGTGGATCCTTGGTTATCACTTTAAAGCCAAGACTCTTAAATCCATGATACTTGAATACCACTGTTGTTCAGTGAGAGCAGAACTAATGATCTAGGATTTCCTTGAGTGTATATGGATGTGACTATTGATTCGCAAGAGTGTGTTCCTGCTTCATCAGTTCAGCATCTTTTTCTAAAAGCACATTTGTAACTTCCCTATTAGATAATAGATTATTTGCTTTTGAATTCTTATTATACATTCATTGCTCTGCCAGTAGCAGCTGTTCAGTGTCAGAAACTGGAGCTGAATACCTGTGAATGCATCTGTTCTACCTTAAACTGTGCAACGATGCTGCAGCTCAGCTCATGATTTTTGCTTATCACTTCTGTTGGTGTGCAGGGAAAATGCCTGTATCTCCATACACTGATAATGGGGAATATTTTATAGCATAGGAGTATAATGGCAGTTAGAATATTAACATATATATCAATTAAAAAATACCTAAGTATGCTTGAAAGCCTGTGAGACTAGAAACAGGTTGACGTGACAAGGACACCCTTAACATAGCACGTTACATTCCAGTACCTGTGCTCTTCAAATCTGTACTAATTAAAGACTTTTACATTATGATTTTAATAACTCTGAAGTGGTGTTTTGTTTTAACTCTCCTGACTGTAGAAAAAGAGATGGAGAGTAATGCCGGGGCAGTTACAGAAATGCCCAGAGGATTTCTTTGAAGAATTATTTATCATGTAAAAATGCCTCTTAATGGCATGTTTAGCCTACCCCACTGTGCTTCTGTTAGAGTATAAGCATGGCCAACATGCAAAACCATTTTAACATACAGCTAATGGTTATGTTTTGCAAAATCACTTGTTAGATCTGTACAGCAGACCTGGTTTATGTTTGGTTTTAACTATTTTATGCCACTGTGCAGCCCATTTAAAGGGAAAATGGTATCAGTACAGCTTTATGTGTGACTTACATTCTAGGAGACACAACAGTAGGTTCAGGTAACGTGAAAAGATGGTTATTGTGCATTTTCTGAACCACTGTTATACACGCTATGAGATACAGGACATTCTGAACTACTTCTTAACTGAGGTTTTCCTCTCTATGTGCAGTTACTCAGTTCCAACTACAGTTACCAGGTAGAGGTCTGGTTTATAAAACTGCTTGTTTGTGTGTTTGCAGAGTAGCTTTAGAACAGGAACTGCAGTGGTGACAGTCCCTTTAGCTGAGGTTCTTAATGAACATTGCTCTTGCACAGCAGCCCCAGCACACGTGTGCAAGGCAGGGCTCGGGGAGCAGTGGTGCCTGTTGCATACCCCTGTGTGATTCCACATCTCTGGACTGCAGTGATTTGGCTTAGCAGGGGCTGAGCAGTCAAACACCTTCATTCCCATGCTGGAATTTTTGACCTTTAAACAATGCAACTCAAATGCGTCAAGCATGCGTGTGCTGCTGTGCGTTTCTTAACTTTCTACCGTTCCCAAAGAGTTGTGTTTTCAGCCGTGCCTCTACTCAAGAGACCCTTCCCACTTCTGCAGTTGTTACATCCCTTACACACCACCTACTCAGCTCCATCGTCAGAAATGGAGAGTGACCCATACAATAACTGAATATCTGTCCTTGGTAAGTGACCCTTAACCTTTTTTAAGGGCCTTGCTTCATAGAATCAGAGAATGGTTTGGGTTGGAAAGGACCTTAAAGCTCATCCAGTTCCAGCCCCTGCCACGGGCAGGGCCACCTTCCACTGGAGCAGCTTGCTCCAAGCCCCTGTGTCCAACCTGGCCTTGAACACTGCCAGGGTTTACACTAATCCTGCTCATACAAAAAGTAGAAAAATATCAGCATAGAGAAGAACTGAATAAATTATAATATTAAGTATGTTGCACCACGAAGAGATTCTGCTCAGTCAGCAGTTTATGAGCATGTTCTGGTTTGTATTTCCCAATTCAGTTGCTTGGAAAAGAAATAAAAACCAAACAAAGGGTTTGTGCAGAGCACATGTGTGCCCTGAGGCATTTCTTGGTTACATCTCACAGTGAGAACAAAGGTAACACTAGCGTTCAGTTTGCCTTTACAGCCAGAAGTGTTTCAAAGTGTGAGCTTTCCCCTCAGTTGCACAGATGCTTTTACAGACGGAAGCACTGTCATGCTGTTACATCCGATAGCTTTTCCTGGGATTATTTTCCAACATGCTCATTTCTGGCTGTAGACCCCACAGGCCCCAGCTATAGAAAGCCAGAGGGGCTGACTCTGGCCTCTAGTGCAAGGCAGTTCCTGCCCTGAGCCTGCTGTAGGCACTGGAGAGAGCCCACTGTTCCTCCTTGGATCATGTCTCTGCTCTCCACAGCATCACTTGGACATGGCTCTTTACTCCTGTAATTGAATTTTTTATATCAGCCACTCAGCTCTAACATGCAGACTTATTCCTTGGTTCAGGATAACAGGTACTGGTGAGCCTGAAACTAACGTCAACCTCGC